AACACCAATTCATTAACTCCGATATCGAAACGCCCGACGAATTTGCAAACTCTGAAACCAGCCCACCTACATTTTCTCAACCATCCTTTCAACCTCTTCATTCCCAAAACAAAATTGAACCTCCTTCCCCTCCCTCTTCCATTCACATGTCACACCCACATATTCCCCTCTAACCAGCGAATCATCCGATAACAACGACCAAGATCACACACAATTATCACATGAACTTGATAACTTCATAACACTACAACAAAAATTGCAACACCCTCAAACACTAACTATTCACCAGCTTTCACGATCTTTAAAATCATCCAATCCATCAACCCCAACCCCTCTTCAACTTATACACCCTACCAAAATCCCACTTCCCCATCAACCCCATCCTCTAGTACCAACCGCGCTTATAGAACCTTTAAACGAAAATTCCCAAATACCCCATTCCCATCTAACCCAGGAACATCCACCTCATTTATACATCATCCACTTACACTAATACGAAAGAATTCCTACAAATATGCCAACCCTTTTTCCCCCAAAATACATACTTCCATTCCGACCCCAATGATGAAAGACCAAATTATGTAAACGAGCATGTCTTATACCCCTAACTCTCATGGACATATCATTACCACTTTACTAATCCATTAACATTACCACCATATTACACCCCTCATGATAATGAAGTATCCAGCACCATACTTTACCTTCTCACAACAGCACTAACCCCAGGCCAGCTCCGTAACCAAATTCACTGCACCTAAAGCTAATAATCACTCCATCGATTATTACGATCATAATATCATCGGAACACATGAAGACATTTGTCTACTTGGCGACCCATATACTAATCCTCAATTAACCGAAAATTTTTTCATAAAAACCTCATACACCTTCACCCTTAACATCTTAAACAAAAAATACGACAAAGTCATCTCTGCAGCACTACGTAATATTAATAATTATGAGTCAAACTTTAACAAATTCAACCATAATTCACTAACCTTTCATTTCCTCACACCAAAAGAACGTGATCTACACTGTTCACACGAAGTCATGTTACGAACTAAACAAACACATACGTACACTTATTATAAATTTAATCAAAATCATTACACTGACAAAACACCAGCACGACAACCTCACCATAGATTCCAAAACATTAACTCAAAATACACATCACCGTTTTTTCTTAACTTCACATATTGTAATAAAGAAACCAACCTACAAGGCACCCCTCGAAATTATGATTCCATCATCCAGATGTATAACTTCTGCCGACTAAACAAACTCCTAAACGTAGACGAATCCCGCCCAATGATTATTCCTCAAGAATTCCTTCAGCCCGTTGAAGTCTCAACCCTAGAACTCATATATAACACTCACTTTAACCACAAATTATATAAACTAATTCAAAGCACACCGTATGAACAATCACTAACACTGAAGAACGTAACATCATTAAAGCACTTAAATTACTTTGGCCACTTTTGCAAACTAAAAACATCATTCGTTTGTTAGCTAAACTGCTAACCTATCTGATATCTTTTCTTTTTCACTTTTTCTTTATTTTTTCTTTTTCTTTATCTTAGTCAATATTTTCTCTTTTTCTTTATAGGCACAATCATCAATCATCTACAAAACAAAAAGCAAAACAAAAAACAGAAACTCTTTTCAAATCATAAATTTCTATTAACCTATCCAATAATTGAAGCAAGAAAATTATCCCGTACAAGCAGTAAATTGATATATGAAGCCTTTTCCTCAAAGCAGTTTATATTCATAAATTGAAAATAATTTGATAATTTCCACCCCCAAATCAAGCAGTAGTAAAAGTAGTAAATTGATAAAAACTGGTTCATAAATTGCAAAAAGCAGTACTAATCTTTTCAAAAAACGCTTCTTTATATTCTCTCGCAAAAATATTCTATCCAAATTTGCATTGCTCGCCCACAAAGAACCGTTTAAAATAGTTAATTTGAGTTTCAACTTTCACTGATAACAACTCTAACAAGTATTAACACGTTTCAAACTTTCCTTTAACCCGGTTGGAAAGGAATTATATAATAATCCAAACTAACCAGCGCAAGCTTACTAAATACCATAAATCACAACTTAACAGCATGACTAAAAAGAAAACCCAGGGTTCCCAAACTGGACTAACACCAGCTTAGAACCGGATAATTTAATCTTTTAAAGACTAGTTTTAAGCCTGAACACTAAAGAAACACAATTTGATTTTTGCAGAAAAGACAAAACTAAGACAACAAAAGAAAAAGCTAGTACTGAAAAATGGCATGAAAGGTTGAACTAACACAGGAACCTCCAAAAAGAGAGCACGAAGTTATACCCTCACTTCTGATCTAACCCACCAGAAGAGGATGTCCTGAGCATGCTCTATAGCCGGCCTCACCCACAGTGCTACATCCACGCTTTGTGACACCCACGAAAATATTTTTGAGGAGAGTTACTCAAGTGTGAGTATTTCTTAAAATTAACCGAACTAAATAATAACGCTTTTGCGATTAAAACAATTACAAGATTATAACTAAGAAACATGATTAACAAAGGTTTGTATATGTAAATAATAATAATGCATTATATAGATTACAAACAGCCCAAAGACGAGCGGCACGAAACTTGACAACCCAATCACACTCCAAACTACGGAATGGCAAAGCCCACCTGACATGCTGCCTACAGTCACTACACTCAATGGATTTAGAGTACGACTTGGCATCACAGAAAAGGAAATCCATTGCAACAGAGCAATGGCCATCTCGATGTTCAAGTATACGTACAGATCCAATTCACCAGGCCTTGCAAACTCAAAATTCACGCCATTTCCAAACGAGATCGAAACACAGTTCTCTACCAAACAAGAACAAACGATCATAACAAACCATTTGGAAATCAGATTGACTTTGTTGGCGCTCACAGTCATTGTTGAATGACAAACTGATATCCAAGATTCCAGCTTCCTGGAGCTTCCTTCTCCAAGAACAGAACAAAAATGATGCTCATTTGATGAACATACAAATGAACATCATCCATCCTCCAGATGAATATAAAAGAACAAAAAACTAAAACTCTCTAAACCCCGGATGGGTGGAACCAGATCTAAACTAGTATTTATCATTGGTTATCATTATGATATTTTATCTCTATAAAATATTGAGTACTAACCAATCAAACTCCATCAAACCAACAACCTATTTATTTGTATAGTGTTGAAACTACTTGTAGTTTCAACACCAGAACAATTTGAATTAAACCTAGAATACAGTTGTTCTCATTCTGGAACTAACTCGCGTAAACCGGTGTACACTAGATCTATTGAGATTAAGAGATATAACAGTAAGTTTAAGATCGGTATTAGACTAAGAAGTTGCACGAATCTATCCGGCCGAAAATAAGATAGCGTGACGAGCAGACGGTGTACCCTATCTGAAATTACTCTATGAGTACAGTAATCTATAAATAACTCAATTGGAAATTACCGCAATTTTAAATTATTTGTAAAAAAGTCTCCATATCATGAATATCCCGGGGAGAAAACTAGTTACCGAGACTAAAAAGCTCAAGGCTTGGTTCTACATTTAATAGCGATGTTTAGAAGTCCTTTTTTGGTTCAACTAAGACAAGTTTCACCGGGGCCTTGCGAGTTTTCCTTACGCAACTTTTTTACGGATAAGTGCGCAATGCTATCAGTACCCAAAAAAACTTCGACAACCTTAATAAGGGACAGATGCTTCTAGAATCCACACAATTTCATTTTTTTCACAAGATATTCTCTTTGGTTCCACTTGGTCCGTGTGTTCAAGTTGGAGCGTACTCTTTGAGTAGTCGTATCGAAAAGCTGTTCAGTCGATCTTTTGTTTGTTTTCAGGATTCTTAGCTCAGGTTGCGTGTAGATTGTAGTATCAGGAGCTCAGAGGAATGTCCGTTCGTGCATGAATAGGATTGGAATCAGACGTAAAGGGTCGTTAATGTCGCAACGTACATGACTCAAGTGTTCTCGAATCAATAAGACCCTCGTATTCGAATACTAAAGATCTTCGCAAGATAGCCATGTTTCATAATAGCTAGATATTTCAAGATCGAAACGCTGGGAAAATATCCCAAATTGTCCAAATTTCTACTTTTGATCTCACTTAACTTCATTAAAAAAACACAGCTGAAATATTTTTTTTTAAATTTGAGCTGAGGACAACAATACCTTTCTGCTGATAAAAAGTTCCGGTGAAAAATGCTAGGCAAAAACTCGAAAGTTGTCTGAAGAAAAAAACCAACCCGATCAAAAATATTTCGTCATTTTCTTCGGACATTGTCGTAACAATTAAGAATGTGACAAAAAAATCTTAAACTACTCTCTTTCGGTCCTTTTTGCGGTTGTTCTAATGTAACATTTTTTTGGGTTCTTTGTAGTAGTTAGAACATAGTTGAACGATGCTCTAGGGAAAAAGAGAACGGCCTGAGGGCACGAAGTACCCGAGTGCGGCTCTTTTGCCCGAGACTATCTTCAACTATGTTCTAATTGCTGAAGAGTATGTTTTCGCTCTTTCTGAGGTAAAGATGACAGAAAATTGTGAAAGAGCCCGGAAAAGTGCGCGAAACTATGCAAATGATTTCTTTTTTCTTTCATGCGTTGTAATATTTCATTTTTCATTCGTGCCTTGTCGTGAAAGAACATGCGTGAAGAAGCGAAAACATACTCTTCTTCTTCAAGGACTAATCGACGAAATGATATAGATACATGATCACATTTATAATTTCCAATATAGCTAAACAAAATCCTTCAGGATGTATACTGCAAATAAAAATGTACAAACATAGAGAGTGCGTTGATCTACCTTATTTTTATGATGACGTCAAGGAGTTTGATATTCGTCAAATGTTTCCAATCACAATAACTTCGCTCTTTCGACATTTTATTGTTTGCTCAATGCTAATGTCAGCTTTTTGACTTGACAATGGCAAACATAACATTCGAATTACTTTTTGCTGGAATTCTAACTTCGGATTAAACGAACTAAGTAATAAATAAAGTTATTTGAAAATGTTGCAATTGATTGAAAGTCTGAATAGCATTTGAAAATGAGCGATATTTTCGAGTGTTGCATCTGCCTGGAAACGCTAGAAAACCCAAAAGCCTTATTTTGCGGACATTCTTACTGCTCGTATCCAAAAGTTTGTCTGCAGGGAGTTTTGACCAGTCAAGCGAGACTCTGTTCAAAATGTCGTCGGCCGATTGATGGCTCCATCAGAGAAGACAATGATCTGTCAATCAACTTTGACTTGAAAGCCGCAATTGAGGTAAAAACTGTGAACACTTGAGGTAAAAACTGTGAAGACTTTTTCCCGGTGGTCAACTTTGTGATAAAAGCGAAATTTCGAAACAATAACTTATCACACATGATAGGTTTTTTTTGGTCAAACCGGGCTTTAGAAGTAACTGTTCTGCTATCTTTTCGGTAATTTAAGAGTTTTATCTTTTTTTCTTTGCCTTCTTTCTCAATTTTTTTTTTCATTAGCCCAAAAAGTGTGAATGGACCATCATCTGTGAATGGACCGTCCTGCTATCGACCATCATTTTTTCGTTTTTGTACCACAAGTGTCCTTAGATCTCAAAACCTTGAACGGAACCCCTGAAACTTCTAATTAGCGGGAAACAATGTTCCTCATTTTCCTCATTAGCGGGAAACAATCATTCTGACTGAGACATTGTTTGAGCAAATTTTTTTTTTGTTCAATTAGTAAAATAAAATAAATTTATGCTTGATTTATGCTACTAATTTGCTCAATTTGTATTTCGAATGTGCTCCGGCTGAACCATCTCGACTTTCAAAGTCGTCACATATTTCGAGCACCTCGGCATGTCTGTCTGCTTGCGGACGCCTCTTCCTGAGGGATTCGACCCCCTGCCGACCCAAAGGGTCCCCCCTTTGAAATTTTTAGGAAATCCATTTTTGGCCGACCGAACCTAAAATTTTTCTAAAGGCGCCTTGGGCGCCAATATATACTAATTTTCAGGGGGAGCGTGCACCAAAAAAATGGCTTTTTTTGAGCTGTTTTTTTTTAAATTTTGCCTAAAAAAAAGGTCGTCAAAATTCTCGAATATTTTTTGAAAATCCGCAACCCCCACCCCCCCCCCCCCCCCTCGAGAAAATGCTAGATCTGCCCCTGAGAAAAACTACAGACTACAGTGTTGCAGCGCAAATGTAAATGTGCGAGAGTATAAATGCATATAAAAGTAAATACATACAGGGACAGTAGCCAAGCGTATACATGGTGCGTCCCGGCGGGTTCGGCGCCGGTTCGAATCCCGACTAGGTCATTTCCTTTCTAGAACTCGAATGTGCACCGAATTTGATGGGATGCCCCGTAACCAGGTTCGGTCCCCCCCAAAACCCATTTTTAACCGTCTTTTCGCTCTAATTTGGTTCAGCCTTGGTTATGGCTGACCTTTAAAAAGAGCAATTTGTCTCAAGGACAAATACTGGCCATTTTTGCAGCTTGCTTTGAGTTATGCAGTTTATTGTGGCCGATGTTACCGATGATAAAGCTTGTTGAAAATTATAAATTATCGTTATATTTTCAAACTTCCGGAGTTATTTTGCCGAGAAAATACTCATTAATTAAAGTGTTTGAAAACCGATTTTATCACGAAGTGTGGAGATTGACGCGCACATTTTGGCGCCCCACAAGGGACCAGTTGGTCTATTTTTCACAATTTTGCCCCCTGATCCGGAAATGATTACTGAGGGGAATTGGCAAAGTTGACTGCAGTTTATTGTTGACAATTTCAGGGCACGATTTAGGGTAATATTTCGATTGTGCACTCAATAAATCCAACGATAAGGTGTTTTGAGAATCAGGAAAAGAGCTGGCAGCCAAGTCGGACTGTTCTTTATCGTCTAAAGCCGCACTCCTTGCTAACCCAATCTGGCATGACTGTCGGCTGCTATTTGGATCAACGCTTATTTGATCACATTCATTAGAAATATTATCTTGGAATAATTCAATGGCCGCCGATTCTATTTGGAACATGCGGCTGGAAATTGTCTTTGTGTAGTGGTGAAGCTTTTGTTGAGCGGCATCCCGATTGAACCGCGAAGTAAACGAAGTATTATTTGCCACAACCTATCCGGAGTTCCTGGAATTGAGGCCTACATACAGGTGCTGGGCAGCAGCCCTCAATCGTAGGCCTACAAACAGGTATTCTGACTGTCGAGTGCCCTGTCAGTTACGGACTTTTTGTGCAAGTTAGAGTAGTGATTGCCGAACAATTTCTCTGTGACAGACCGAAGGCTTGACAACCCAAAACCGGTGACCGCCCAATCTCCAAAACCGTCAAAAACTGTAAGACTCATCTAGTTTTTATAAATTTATTGTGCAATAAAATTACATACGGTGTTCTATTGTGTATCCCAACTCAAAGCAAGCTACAAGTGGTAATTTTTTCCAGATACCACAAATTTTTGGGTAATTGTGAACGGATTGAAAATCCAAAAAATTGGACCATAGACAAGAGGTACTGGACTAGTTTTTTGGATTGGTTTACGACTCGAACCTGCTGACCAAAGTTTTCCGAAAAATTTTGGGAAAAAAGTAAAAAAATTGCCAAAAATTCCTCAAAACGTCCCCATAAATCTGCGAAACTGTGCTGTAACATGACACCAACCTTATAGTAAGTGGTCTGGTAGCGTAATATCAGGCAAATTAAGTTGAGTTTTTTCATCCTCAGGTTTTTTCCGCGTGTGTTGTTGGAACTTAACCAATTTGCCTGATCCCCCACCCACATTGGTGAAACTGAAAGCCAGTACGCTTCAAGTAATTCTAAGCCGTTTCAGCCCGTCCGATTATTGACTTCGTTGCGCGACACTAATGTTAAGTGGTCAGGTACTGTGATATTAAGTGAGTTAAGTTGAATTCTTTCATCCTCAGGTTTACTCCGTGTGCGTTGTTGGAGTTCAACCGACCTACTTAATTTCCCCGCCCCATTGGTTCAAGTGAATCTAAGCCGTTTCAGCTCGTCCGATTATTGACTTCGTTGCGCGACACTAATGTTAAGTGGCCAGGTACGGTGATAATAAGTGAGTTAAGTTGAATTCTTTCATCCTCAGGTTTACTCCGTGTGCGTTGTTGGAGTTCAACCGACCTACTTAATTTCCCCACCCCATTGGTACTTTAGCGTAACGTAGCCGTCGCATAGGTCTCTTGAGTGTATGGTATTCATTCTAGGAGCTAGTTCTCTAGATCACGCGCTCCGTACACTATCCGCGCCGTCTCAAAAGCGCGTGAAAGAGACTTGTTTCACAAAGCCCGGTTTAAGCTTGGACTTTAACGCCAGGTAAAAGTATTTGTGGATTTACTTGAGTGAAAATACAGTTTTTCTGAGAGTCGTTTATTTCTGAAATTATTAAGCATGGAAGTTAAGTTTCAGAAGAAAATTAAGAAGTTGTTTGAGAAACGTAGCAATCTCGAAAACGAACTTTATAAATGCCATGAAATAATTTTAGAATACATAGAGAGTCAGAGTCGTTGCTCAAAAATTGATACTTATATTGAAAAATGTAGGAACTATATAGAACAAGCGGTCGAGATAAATACTGAGTTGATTGATATGGCTGCAAAAAGTGCCAATCCCGACGAATTGATACCGGCACAGGATATGTGGCTTCATAAGTTGACTCAAAGCAACGATAAAGTTCTGCAGGAAGCTATCACATATAAAACAAGTTTTGAGGCAGTAACAGAGCCGGACAAAATAGATAGCAGCTCAAAAGTTTCTCATCATTCTGAAAAAAGTGAAAAACCCCGGTCGCATAAAACAGATACCCGCTCTAAGTTGTCGCACCGAAGCAGCCGACATCAGCAATCAGGTTCTCAGAAATCTAGTTATACCGCCGCTCCGTCGAAAACACTTTCTGAGAAAAAACGCGACTTAATGATTTTAAAGAAACAACAAGAGGAACTTGAGAGGCAGGCAAAGGTATCATTAAGACTGAAAGAGCAGCAAAACAAGATGAAACAATATGTTTTAGAACAACAAAGCAGTTTAGAGTTGGAAGAATTGGCTGAAGAACATAGGAAAAAACTGGCAGAAATTGAGTTGAAAGGGCTTGAGTTAGAAGATGAGTTGTCGGAAATCAGCGAGAATGCTGAGGAAAGTGGTTTAACTCGAATCTCTCCACAACTAACAATAGACGAAAAGGATCGTACGCGTCACTGGGTCGAATCTGTCGACCACAATCAGCCTGATGCTGTTGTAGTTCCCAATCAAGAGCAGCACGTTCGTTCAACAGCTCCTGAGGCAACTTATCCTGCATCAACAAATTACTTGGTCTCATCAAGTTTTACAGGAGTGAATAATGGCCAGGCAGCTTCTAGTGATCCGGGATTGTATTACAGTAACCACATTCACGGACAACAACATAATTTGTCGAATTTGGTTCGATCGCAGGTTTCCGTTAACAATCCAGTAGGGTTACAGCAGGTCATGCAACCTGTTTCCAATAATTTGCCTCAGCAAACTTTTTTGTCCACTCGTCCGGGGCTAGGCAATCCAAACACAGGTTCAGTAGTCCCGGTAACTTCTGAAAACTATTTTGCTCCGCCATCATCTGCAGAAGTTCCTTCTGGTGTAACACCGTTTGTTCCTGCATCAACAGCAGTTAATCATGTTTCTTTAAGTCATCACACTGCAGGATCAGTAGTAGCTGGCTACCAAGCACCTGTAGCCCCATCACAACAACATATGGGTGTTCCCGTTAGTAGTTATAACTTTTCAAGTGACCACTACAATCCTTATAGTAATTTGTGGAGACCAGCTGTTGCTACCCCTTTAATGTCAACTCAACAGCACTACGTTCCTTCGACAACTGTTTTTTCCGCAGTAACTCCGATTGTTCCTACGAATAATTTTGTTCCTTATACAAGTGGAGGGACTGTGTTCTTTGCGCAGCCTGAGAACTTTTCACAAGCTAATCAACCGTTCGTTCCTGATTGTCACGGTAACTCTTCGAATTACACAGAGCCAACTCCCGGTAATTCACCTGGTGCAGACGTCGAGCGTCCACTTTCGACACGAGAGTTGGTTAATATACTCATGCACAGCCGAAAAGATCATCTCCCTGAGTGGAAGCTGACCCAGTTCGATGGCAACCCACTTAATTGGCATGAGTGGTTTGGGCAATTCACATCGACGGTCGATTCAGCCATACTCAGTGACGATGAAAAGCTTACCTATCTGAAAACGCTTGTAGTGGGTAAAGCAAAATCCGCAATCGCTGAGTATAGCTATAGCGGAGTAC